ACCTGCTTGATAGCCCATAAAAAAGCGTGAAATTTCAGTTTTAATTTCCAATCTAATCTTGATATATTTCTTGAGAATTTCCAGGTGAGAAATAGAATCCAGACGAGAAGTAATTGTAAATGTACGTGACATACCATTTTTAGAATCTGGAATTGTAACTACAATAATGTCATCGAAATTTTTGAAATTTTTGTTGTTCAATGTAAGTTTGCATAACTCATCAGAACGGCATGCTCCTGCAATGCCTAAGACCGTCACTACCTTCATTAGCAAATAATATGTGTTATCGGGTGCCTGAACGAGAATATCGTTGACTTGTGCTCTTGTAAATATATTTGACGTAGCTTTGTTTATAACCACCTTAAAACGACAAAATCCAAACAACCAAGGCTACTTTGCAAGATTTCGAATAATGTCAAAATTAATTTATTAAGAAATGTCAAAAAATAAATCTTAATCTTTATTTCATGAACCATAAAGAACTGTGGGAGCAGATAAAATGTTATACACCACGCAGCAGTTACCAGTCTCGGACTCTATTGCCAGCCCTCGCTCCGCTCGGGCGCAAAATCGTCCTGGACTGGTAAATAATACTTACCTCTTCTATGGTGTAAATAACCATTTTTCTCAGTAAAGAAAATGTCAACCTTAGAGACTTCTGACAGTCAAAAAATGTCATAGTTTTGTGACGGTTGGAGAAAAATTTTATTATTATTATTGAAAAATCAAATACCACTTAATTATTAAAGATCATGCGCACCTTTTCCTGTCACCACCACTATTTTTGTTCGACAATCTATTATTTATACCTGTTAATTGAAACTTCTCGTCACGAAAATTCTTATTTTCCGTGGAACGTAATACGATCCTGCCCTATAAAATATTTACAAATCGCGTCCCTTTCAAAGCGGGCGAGGTGGAAAATTGGAGTCACTTTCTATTCAGTCCGAATCGATATATTGAATTTGCCGTGTATAAATAAACGTATTGTTCCTTAAAGTGGGTTATAGTTTTTTACCGAACTGCTTGCATGTCTAGCTGGCCACAGGTTGCTAAAAATAGTCGTATCCAAGTAATCATCGAAGAACCTGTGGCTTATATCTAACAGGATGCTGTATATTTTAATTTCCATTGCGAGGAGTAAATTATGGGAAAGGAATAGTTTGGATTAAAGGTTATTAACAACGAGCACGATTTATGCCGCGTCTATGGATATTTTCTGTAAGCATTGTTGGAGCTATAATTAGCTCGATGAAGTTATAACAATTTCAGTCTGTTGCAGATAGACAGATACATTTATTTAACTACTTTTTATACAACAAGGTAAAATCGTAACAAATTACGCACACACATTATGTGTAAAAATATTAACCAGTGCTTCCTCAGACCAAAAAAAGCATTTAACCCAACATCTTCCTTAAAAACTTACGGACTTTCAAAGAATTTTTTTTAACTGTTAAGGATATAGGGGAAATTTTGTATCGTCCTGTACATATTTAACTAACGTCTAGAGTTCTAAGCATGCGGTATGCTAATATATGAGTATTTAAAGTTTGAATGATTTGAGACTGAAATTATCCGCATCACAATGTTAAAGTGATGGTTTACAACCCCATCCACGTAAGCTATTATCAATACCACTCTCTCATAACTCTTTGTGTCTATGAAAGGACTCTCATATAAGCTCCTTGCAACTTGTATCCTGTAAAATCTGATCGCTTTCGGCACTTAAAGTATGTTCCTTTTATAGGCTATAAAACCTTTTATCGTTATTAGTTTTGACAGAGAATAAGATCGAGTCAGTTGTAATTGTTTCATTTATATTTTTGAACTGACCAAAGTTTTACACTTCAAATTCTATTATCACATTTTTTCTCTCAGATTTTTTCACACAAATGCCTTGCTTTATTAAATAGCATATTATAAATACGTCTACTACTTATTCTACGATACAGATTAAAAATATATACAAAGATACTTTCTTTTATTCATCACTGACAGAAAATTATAAAAAATTACGATTTTTGCACATAAAATCAGTCTCATAAAATTCTACCACCCTTATATCTAGAAGAAAATGGTAGAGACATAAGTTTTAGGATTTTTTTTTGAGATTTTGGATGATTTTCAAAGAGCTGTAACTTGGAGCGAAATGATCGTAGAGAAAATAAAAAAAAGAAAATTGAAGCTTCAAGTGTCTAGTTTTTAGATCTGCAGTTTAAAATTTTTTAGCATCATCAGTTTCTGAGTAATCATAAGAAATTTAACGGAAAAAAATTGTAAATTTTTGCTTTCTTTAAACAGACCTATGGACTTATAATTATTACGTAATTTCATCATAAAGCTCTTTTAGATAATTTAGTTGTTAGTTGTTTTAACTTTGAAATAAACAAAAAAAAAATAATGACTTTTTTTTTATTTAGGGCTTACTTTCAATGTTACAGGGAAAAGTATGTCGAAAAACGGGTCATTTTTCATTCATTTTTTTTTGGTTTGTTTGCTGTTCCCCTGAATTTAGCAATGGTTTTTTGGAATAGGCAAACTCGGATTCTTATTCTACATAATATTTGGGATTTTTCTGTACATCAAAATAGGTGACTTCAAATACAAATATCGCATGAACTATTGATACTTGTACCAAAGGCAGTTTTGTAAAGATTTTTTTAAAATACAGTATTGTTGTATGTCCATATACAGGGTGTTCTGAAAGTTAAGTCATTTATTTTAATAGTTAGTAGAACTTATAAAAAGAAGTCAATTTACCAAAAATCGTTTATATAAAAGTAGTCAAATAAAGCGATTATTAACAATTATTTAAAAAAAAATGAAATTTAAAAACTTTCTAATACAAACCTGATTTATTGTAATTTTTGGCCTCATAAACATAAATTGTTTGTTTAATACTGATACTGGGTATGCATTTTTTTTGTAGTTGCTCGGTTTTGAGTACGCTTTTCGATTTGACAGTGCTAAATAATTCGTACAATCGTGCGTGATATTATTTTTGATTTGTGGGTGTTTTGTGTAATAAAAATGGCACGTGTTTATGAAGACAATAAACTAGTGGACATAATATTAACTTACAGGGTGTGTCTACAAAATGCAGCCGCAGCATGTCGCTTGTACGCGGAAAGGTTTCATTATTTTTTTTTAAATATACCGCTGCTATGACAAAATCTAGTAATTTTTAATTCTGTATTAGATGATATTACTATTGTAATCAATTAAAAAAGTTTTTAGCTATCATTAAAAATTTTTCCTGAGTACGGCTCTGAACGCTTTCAAAATACCTGTATCTACTGGAGGGGAGAGAGAGAGAGAGAGAGATTAGAGAATAATAGTCAATACATCACAAAATATCCAACAATTTTTTTAATCCATAATTTAAAAAGTTGTATCTAATAAAAAATTAATAGGAATTTATGAAATATTTTATTATTTCTAATTACTATTGCTAACAGTAGTAAAAAATTGTTGGATATTTTGTGCGGTTTTGAAAGCTTTCAAAGCCGTACTCAGAAAAATTTTTAAATTATAGCTAAAACACGCTAAAAACTTTTATAATAATATTAATATTAATAGTAATATCCTCTAATTCAGAATTAAAAATGACTTTAGATTTTGTCATAAAAATAGCAGCGGCGTATTTAAAAAAATTAACCCGATGATGGCCCCTCGAAGACGAAACGTCGGATTGCAAAAATATTGACGTCATTGTATGGAGCGAAAAAAGTGGCATTGTAAATATATAATTTATTTTAAAACTCGTTTTCAAATAAAGCCAGAAAAAATTAAACAATTTTGTAAAATTTCGGGTCTCTCTTACCGTTGCCTAGATCCTAGTGCTATCCCATCCTTATCTTGGACACACTGTATATCTATGAATTCATCAAGCTTTAAAAAAAATAAGTACTTACACTAATCGATCCTACGGAAAAAAAATATTATTTATTTTATTTATTCACTATTCGACTTATATTTATAGCAATCCTGTACAAAAATAGGTTTGAGTCAAACAATGAAACAGTTTTTTTTTTATTTTTTCCATACAATTGAATGATGTAGTCAGTTTTTGACTTTTTCTTTTAATTTAAATAAATTATCAACAATTACTGAAAAATTCATTGCTGCAAATCATTTTTTACTTTTTTGCATTTTTGAGCATGTTATTGAACTGTGATTACAAATTTTTTTATTTCACCAAAAAGTATATGTCAAAACGAAAAAAATGATTACCGGCAGAACTCTGTACGATGATTATTTTAAGTAGAATTTTTCTTTGAAAAAAAGTGTTTCAGGCCGAAAAAATGAATATCTCAAGAGACTTCCTGATTTGTTTATCTAAAAAATTTGAGGTTATTTAAGACAGAGAAAGGTATAGTTTCACCCAGTTTCGTCAAAATTAAATTATTTTTGCGGAAATGAGAAATAAAAAACAAAAAATCAGAAAAAAACTGTTTTTCGCATTTTTCTCGGAGATTTTGAGGTTATGTTAAACAATGATCTCTACAAAAGTTGTAGATTTTTGCATGATCTACAACTTTTGTATTAGATACTTTTTTGTTTCACGTCAACTTTCGCCAGAAATCCCAATGATACAATTTTTCATAACTTTTCAATCCCCTAAATTAACTCTCCGCCGCCCCTGCTCATGCATTTATTTTTTTTCAATTATTATAAGCTCCTTTATCATTTCCACTTATAAAAATCCAGGTAACAATTTTCTTTTTTTACCCTCGAAATGAGTTATTTTGATCGGTCTATAAACGATTTTTGGTAAATCGACTTTTTTATGACCAGCTATTAAAATAAAAGACTCAACTTTGAGAACACCCTGTATATTAAACTTTCAAGGTCATCTTGCCTTGAAGTCGTAGAAAAATTTCCTACAACTTTGGTCTTTACCATATTTTCCTAGACAGAAAGATAAAAAAAGAATGGCTCATTGCAAATCCTATTACAGAACAAGGTGTACGAAATATATTTTCTTTTCATTTCAGGGCTCCTCTCAGTTCCACTACACTCCCGGGGGTGGCCTCTAAGTGATGCACTCCAACTCCAGCACACCCACCAAGTTCGATAATAACAATGAGATTAAGAAGTCAGTCGAGAAAATGAGCGATTCCAGCAAGTCGAGCTACCAGGCGATCAAGTCGACGGAATCCCTGCAACCCTCCAGGAAGTCGAAAAAGAAAACCGGCGTCCACCTGAACAACCTCTGGTCGATATGGTACGGGATATTCTGCACGGCGCTGCAGGCCTATGCGGCGTACAAGTGCCTGAAGAGGATATTGGGTGAGTGGTGGGAAATGGGTCAATTGGGTTCGGAATGCCATATTTCTGATGTAATCTGAAGGGAAAAAATAATTACGTTGTCGCACGCACTCTGCATAATTTAGACGGTTTCGTGGGTTTATTAAGCTCTATCGCGGTGCGGACAGGGACTATATCCGGATTTGGTGGATCGATATCACCACCTAATTGGTATTGAATGGAATTTACAAAGAAACTTAATTCAAAAGGTTTTTTTAATTGTGTCTTATTTTTTGACGTCGCCCTGCTTCATGACACATTTGGTATACCTGTTAATAATCTTGTAAATGATGTTTATCAAAAAGTTGTTTGATGCAGCTCTTAACCAACTCTGAATCATCCCGACTGCTTCATTATCATCTATAAATTTCTATATTTGCAAATGTTCTTTGATGGTTTCAAACAAATGATAGTCTGATGATTCTGTATGGTGGCTACTGGCTACAACATCTCCAAAAGTTAAAAGGGACAACGCTAACGTCAAAAGGGTACTTTAGCTGACTGGAACAAAAAAGACAATTTTGTTCTTGGACAAAAATAGTTATTTTTGTATCCCTTCGAGCATATACTCCTAGAGACAGCCTTCAGTGCTGAGAAAGCGCGACTGGTGTGCGAGAGAAAAAGGAGAATAAAATGACTTGCTATTTTTCTCGCTCCGCGAGCTGATTGGTACAGGATGGTCATTGGTATGGAGGGGAGCACGCATCGACCAATCCAGCTCGCGGAGCGAGAGAGAAAGCATGTCCTTTTGTTCTCCTTTCTCTCTCGCACACCAGTCGCGTTTTCTCAGCACTGATGTCTGCCTCTAGGAGTATATGCTCGAAGTTGTATCCAGAACTCGAAATGGTACTTTTGCATTCAAAAATATAAATAGAAATATTTGAAATTATTCAATTTTCGTGGCTGAAAACGTACATAAGTATTGTCGAAACCTGGAGAGTTGCATGTACAAAATTTGGACAGGACATAGCTAATACAACGCGAAACATCGCCTTAATGTTAAAAATGCTGTCACCGCCGTTTTTGGTAGAGAAAATTCGAAATATTTGAAATTATTCAATTTTCGTGGCTGAAAACATACATAGGCATTGTCGAAACCAAGAGAGTTGCTTACATGCTTATATTACTTAAAATGTATATTGTTTAATTAATAAAATCATAAATAAGTTTGGAAACAATGACAAGTTATTTTAATATTTGTTTTATGTTCTAGAATGTTAATTCAAAAGTCAGTAATTACAGTAACATTAACAAAAGAAATAGGAAAACCTTGGTGTATGATCAAAGAGGAAGATTCAGTACTGTATCCCGTTGCTATAAATTCAAGGTTCATTATATGCATAGAACTTTCTATGCATATGTACTATCTACATCAATATTATTACTTTCTCTTTCAATTGTATCTACAGGATGTCTCATAATTAGCTGCCAACCCTGAACAGGCCGATTCTATGATCAAAACTAAGTAAAAAGTTCATATGAACATGGGTCCGGAAATGCTTCCTAAGGGCACAGGGACCCATTGTAGAGGGAGGAATGGAAAACATTTTTTGCAATATCTCTCAATCGCGTTGTGATAAATGAATGAAATTCGATATACACAGCTAAATTTTGATGGGCAATTTGATGGACTAATCCATTTATTTCCACAAGGTCCATTGGAGTGGGTACGGGGGGCCCTTGGTACTTTGCGTGTGTAACTTTTTCATCTTTGACTTTTTAACAAATTGGACAGCAAATTCCGTTTTCCCGAACTGTTTTACGTTAAAAAGGTACTCTTGTTTCAAATCGTTATCTTTAACGGTTTCTGAGAAAATCGCTCTTGAATTAATCCCACTTTGGTCAATTTCATAGTAATTTAAACAAAAAAAATTTTTTTGTTTAAATTTAATCTAATTTTAATAAAAAAATAATAATAAAAAATTAAATTAAATAAAAATTAATCCTTTAAATGGAAAAGAGAGGAAAGGAAAATTATTATTATTTTTTTTTGTTTAAATTACTATGAAATTGACCAAAGTGGGATTAATTCAAGAGCGATTTTCTCAGAAACCGTTAAAGATAACGATTTGAAACAAGAGTACCTTTTTAACGTAAAACAGTTCGGGAAAACGGAATTTGCTGTCCAATTTGTTAAAAAGTCAAAGATGAAAAAGTTACACACGCAAAGTACCAAGGGCCCCCCCGTACCCACCCCAATGGACCTTGTGGAAATAAATGGATTAGTCCATCAAATTGCTCATCAAAATTTAGCTGTGTATACCAAATTTCATTCATTTATCACAACGCGATTGAGAGATATTGCAAAAAATGATTTTCATTCCTCCCTCTTCAATGGGTCTCTGTGCCCTTAGGAAGCATTTCCGGACCCATGTTCATATGAACTTTTTTACTTAGTTTTGATCATAGAATCGGCCTGTTCAGGGTTGGCAGCTAATTATGAGACACCCTGTATACGATCCAGCTTAAGAAATGTACTTTGTTCAGGGCTGGGATGAGGGAGATTCAGTAGAGAACCCTTGAGGGATATACCTGCTATACTGCTATAAATTTTCTTCATATTGCTTATCTACTGAACTTTATTGATATCTGCAAAACTTACGTCCATCTTAGTATTTTCAATCGTACCTACTCATCTAGTTACAGAAGTGTACTTTGTCTAGTGCTATATTGTTTTAAAACATTATTTTGACGTATAAACTTTTAGATATTAACAGCGCTTTTGCTCTGAAGATGTAATTGAGTCACGAAACCTGTCGCCAATTAAGAAAATTACAATTTACAACAAAGTTATTAATTTTAAGATAATTGCTACGCATTTTTGCTGAAGAAATTTCTATTGAATAATCGAAGTTTGCAGATTTATTTTACCCTTTTTAACTTTTACTGATCGAAATCACGTGTGCTTAGTGTTTTCCGTAATATTGTTTCCGCCGCTCTTGTTCCGCCAGTTTTAATGCCTTCGAATTACGTTAGTAAACTCATTCGTCAACTAAAATTGGATTCTCATTAAGTTTCGCTCGCTTAACTAACCGAATTCGAATCACTTGAGCCGATTTCATTTGAAAAGTTTGCCACAATGAAATGAAACGTACCAAAAACGTAATTCATTAGGTTGGCGGAAGGGGGGGAGGGGGGCGACTGTTCGATTTAGCCCAACACAGGACATTTTCATGCTTGAACAGCGTTATGCGAGTTGGTAAATTCCAGTCTGGTGGTTTTCACGGGCTTTTAAATAAATTTAGGTAAAGTGACGCGAATACTAGCTAATATAATAAATTCATTTTCTATATCGTATAAAAATGTTGATAGTAAAGTATGTTGGCGGAGAAACAGAGATAATCATAATTTCCAATATTAAAGCTATAAAATTTCGGAAACACCAACTTCAATCAAGTCAAATTTACTGAGCGCCAAAATAAATCTGATCACGTGGGCCTTGGGCATTTATGAAGGCACTGTATATTTTAACCAAAATCGTCAATATTTCCGACGATGTAAAACCAAAATATAACTTTTTTTCCTGAAACCAAGAGGCTCTTCTTCAATGCTTCTAAGAACTTTTGAGAAACAATATTCTTTTCCTTAATTGGGTATCTTCTTTCTGGTATCATTTGAAACTGGAACAAATAACGTTAAATTAGCTAATACCAGCTGCAAATGTATAAAATGTTATGAAAAAAATCCGCTAAACTGAACTATACTCAACACAATACGTAGATAGTCCTTTAAAATTATTCAAAACGCAAAAAAACAACTTGAAACGATTTATTTTATGTCATATCAACTTGTTAAGTTGTTGAAAATAATTAACTTAACAGCTGAATAGTAAGTACGATAAACCTAAAAAAAACTGTTATATCTGTTATATGCATAAAGGTTATGTTTAAGTTTAATAAGTAATGAATGATGTATCAGCATCTAGATGCGTTCTTCTAGGTCACATTAAAAATTTTAGACAGCAATTGACTTATTTTAGACAAAATGCAACTAGTTATAAACAAAAACTGGGATAAACACAAATCAATATGCGGTTTGCCGCTATCTTGATAAAGAAACACAAAATATACAGGGTGTTAAAAAAAGAGTATAAAATATTTCAGGAGGTAATAGTATGAACCAAAATAAGCAGAAAAGTCTTAATAAACATGGGTCCGCAAAGTAACGGTTGCGGAGATATGGACCACTATTCGTTTTTCAAACATTTTATTTTATTAGGAATAAACCGACAAAGGAAGCTTTTAACAAACAAAAAACAAAGTTACAGAAGATGTTCAAAGTGCCCTCCGTCCATTTCCAAGCAGGCACGACATCTTCGTCTCAACGATATTCGAACTCTTTCGAAAACACCCTCCTTGGTTTGGATTTCTTGACACTTTTGATTAATCCGTAGCTGCAGCTCTTCCAGGCTATTTACAGGAGTACCATACACTAATGTCTTCAAATATCCCCAAACAAAGAAATCTAGAGGGTTCAGATCAGGCGATCTTGGAGGCCATAAAACAGGTCCGGCCCTTCCTACCCATCTATGTGGAAAAGTTTGGTGTAAATGCTCTCTAACGGCCATGGAAAAATGAGCTGGAGCACCATCATGCTGGAACCACATTTGTTGCCTCTGATTCAAAGGAATGTCTTCCAAAAACTCATACAGTGTGTTCTGCAGAAAGTTGAGGTAAGCAGCGCCTGTTAATCGGTTTGGTAAAACAACAGGACCTAGAAACCTGTCACCTACAATACCCATCCAAATGTTTAATGAAAAACGTGCCTGATGTCCAGATTCTATTAGAGCATGAGGATTTTCGTCGGCCCAAATATGCGTATTGTGAAAATTAAACACTCCATTTCTTGTGAACCCGGCCTCATCAGTAAAAAGAATGTTTGCAAGAAAACGAGGGTCTTCAGCATCATGACGTAGAAACCAGCGGCAAAAAACCAAACGTGCTTGATGATCATTTATTGGATTTAAGGCCTGTACTCGTTGC